TTATTTTTCATATTTCAAGTTATGCTTTTGAATTTCATCTGAGGTTTTTGGAAATATGTAGTTTTGTCTTTTCTTTTTTTTTTTGGAAATATTGTTTTTTGTTTTGTTTGTCATCTTCACATTTACCCCTTAAAGTAAATTGTATACTAACTGAACTAGTAGGAGAACATGTCTGTTTATTTTATAACAGCAATGCAAAGTTCCTGGCCTAAAGTATTGAAAGTAAATGCAAATCATAAATAAAAACTACTTGTAAATCACTTTGAATCAAAGTGAGACGATCGTATTAAGGATTAATGAGTAACGGTCACCTACAGACGGGTGGTAAATAATTAGTTGCCTACGTGCAATGAAAGGGGAAAATGAGTAACTTTTGTTTAAGTAAATTTATTTATTTAATACAACCAAATGAAGATGCTGATAGCCTGGACTATAAAATTTAAAATAGCAGAATTTTACAAAGCAATGAAATGTGTCATTGATGTGTAATTTTGTGTAAAGTTACTCTAAAGATCACAAGATAAAATCACAATTATTCAACAATATTTTCTGTAAAATTCACTCTGTTTATAATTTCCTCCTGTCACTACAGTGATGCCGTCTTTTTCTGAATTGTGGCTGATTTAGGGTTAATTAGGCTTTTAATTAAGTTTTATTTACTAGTTTTATATTATTTCAGTGTTTTGTTGTGTTTGTTTGTCTGAACATATTTTGAAATACACTTTTATTTTGTATTTTTTTATTTTCTTTGTTTTTAGCTTTATTCAGCATTTTAGAATGCATAGTTTTCTTAATTTATTATAAATCTATCTTCTTAATTTATTATAAATCTATCTGGTGTTACCATTTAGCAGTGGTGTTTACCCAGTCCTTTTTATTAATGAAACAATTCTGTTCATTTTAGTAATGCTGAGAGATATTTTTATGTTTTTCTAGTGCCATTATTTTTTTAGTTTTTGCCAACTGTGAAGCACTTTGGGTTACTTTTGCATGATAACTGCTCTACAAATGAAGTCTAACTAGTTACATAATTCAATTTCAATTCAGTTTACTTATATAGTGCCAAGTCACAACAAAAGTCATCTCAGAGCACGGAACAGAAACATTCATATATATAGTTTAAAAATAAGTTAACATTATTTATCTGAGGAGCAGACTGTCATGAATTTAACTCTTGCGCAGAACTCTCATCTTGAGCAAGCATGAAGGCGACAGTGGAAAGGAAAAACTCCCTCATGAGGAAGAAACCTCCAGCAGAACCAGGCTCAGGACAAGTGTCCATTTGCTTCGACCGACTGGGTTTGAGAGGAACAGGAAGGAGGACCAGGTATACAATGGCAGGCCGAGAATCGCATGTTAAGATAGAAATAATACCAAATGAAAAGGATTCAATTTTAACAATTCATTTAAGGAAATTAAGTCAGGTTTGTCCTCCAGTAGTCTAAGCCTATAGCAGCATAACAAGAGTCAAAATAAAATAGCAATAGTAACAGTTTTTACTATTATTCAATATATTGAAGCAGAAATAGTGGAAAAACTGGAGAAAATGAGAATTTGGACTGTAGTAACAGTTATAACCGGAGGAGACGCTACAATCAATAAAGGACTAATCCACTGTCGTAAAATTCAACGAAGAAGAAATGGAGCCATATGATTGGTTGTTGCCAGGGTACAGACAGCCTCAGATTAACCGCTACATCTTTGGTTTAGGGGCAGAAAGTGGCCTTATTTATCCGAGCGAGCAGAGCCGAGGTTCTTAACGCAGCTCGGCGTAGTTTTTGTTAAACATTTATTTAAGTAAAAAAATCGGAACCGGCGGACATGTCGTGATACGAAGCAGCCTTTTCCGGGTGGTTTGTTGATCAGGTGGAACAAACGAATCCGAGTCTCCGGAGAGGTGAGACCACCCGCTAACCAGACATCAAAAGCTAGCTTCGCAGCTAAAATAACAACAGCTCATTTCTGGCTGCTTTTATGGGTTCGAGCCCGTTTATCCGGCTCATGTTTAATAATTCGAGTAGCTGCTGTTTTAATGGAGACAGGGCTGTTTTCTGTCACAGGTTTGTGTTCGCTTCTGAAGAGCTGGGCCTCCTGTGTTGGCTCTCTGAGCCATCCGTCAGCGATAAACAAGCAGCTAAACTGTAGTTCATCGTTTTTATCCACCATGGCCTGTTCGTCCTACCTTGCACTTTAACTTTTATAAGCACTGTTGCAATGCAGCATATTAACATTTAGACACTAAGAAGTGCAGATAATTACATTAAATAATTGTTTTTAGCACGGTTTGTAACGTGGCATGCTTGAGCTGAAAGCTGAGGCCAACATGTGGGTGAATTTTGGTCAATTTTTATTTTTTTCTGAGTTACCTTCATGTTTGAGTATCACTCAAATGAAGGTGGATTGGATGGCAAGGTCCCATCATGCAGATGAAGGTGTGCCTTTGTTTTGATGGTGATTCTTTCAGGTTAAAGTTGAGTTTTTGCCCCAAAACGTCATGGCCAGAGTGTTGACATTAGTATATTTAAAGGAGAGTACATGATCCCTAATTGAGGGGGAGTGGTGGTGCAAAGGTTGGAGAAGGTGGGTCTGTAATCGAAAGGTTGCCGGTTAAACTCCCAAGACCAACATCATCTCCAGCCTCCACTCTTATTTGTTTCACTCTGAGCCCTTGAGCAAGGCCTTAAACCCACCATCTGCTTTCCCGGTGCCCTAGATGGCAGCTCTCTGCTCCACACAGAGGGCTGTGGTTGCTTGGTGGTCTGTGGTTGCATCAGGAAGTGCATCTGGTTTTAGAAACGATTGCCAAGTCTTGGTGCGAGTTAGTTTGCTATGGTGACCACTGAAGTAATGGGCAGCTAAAAGACGAAAAGAAACAAAAACTAACATGATCCCCAAATAAGATGTCTAGCTTGAAGCCCTGCTGCAGATATCTGTGATGAAATTGACAGGATAATACTCTTTCCTGTTTTTAATACTCAAGTATTTCAGTCATCTAAAGGTGACGATCCGTTTTGACTCCAAGAAGAAAAATGGAAAAACATAAGAATTAAATGTTTTTTCTTTCATAAGGTTCAGCAGCAACATAAAATATGGAGTTTTGTAACTGAGTGGTTTTACTTTGACACCTTATTTAAAAAGCAATGCCTGTACATAATTTCGCTCCACCACATGTACCACATGAGGTGCGAATGACAATAAAGAAACTCTGACTCTGACTCTGACTGTACAAACTTCAGCCACAATGCAACAGCTGCTACAACCAGCTGAAGCCCACAGTTTTGTTACATTTGGCAAATGCTCCGTTTTATTTTTAGGTGTGCAAGTTTTTCTAATATTTGATAAATCCTTGAATTGTAGAGAATCAACAACTGTGTCAAAACTAAAGCATTGTTGTTGTATATCATTTTAATTTGTGTAATTTGTTGTTTATTTTTAGGTCACTTGTTTTGTATGTCACTGAGATCAAGAACCTGAAATGGATGAACAAAGTGTTGAGGTGCGTTTAACACCCAAAACTCACTACATTAAAGCTTTACATATTTTTTTTATTAATTCTTCTGTTATTCCTAATGAGCACACTGATGCAATTAGTACATATTTTGCTCTAGAAACCCCCAAATCTTCAGTTTTTTTGTTAATGTTGACATCTTTGAGTGCTATAAATTGAGCTGGTGTGGTGTGAAGCTCTCCTTCTCTTTGCAGAGCATCGCTGAGGTGTTTCGCTGCTTCATCTGCATGGAGAAACTGAGGGACGCTCGCCTCTGCCCGCACTGCTCCAAACTTTGCTGCTTCAGCTGCATACGAGTGCGTGTTAATGTTTTTTTTTTTGGTTATTTTTTTTTGTATTTTCTTCTCAGCGTCTCAATTTAAAACTACCCAACTATTTAGTATTGCCAATACATGAATTTCATTCTATAGTAAGAATCTGCTTCAGAAACACTGTCTTACAGAAAACATTGTCCCACATTTTCTGACACTTTATTAAGAATGTAAACAGTTTTCAGCTGACTATTTTTACACCTTTGTAGCATCTGTTAGTTTTACAGCACTATTTTCACTCGAACTAAGTCCCCCTTTGTTGCAAATCTGCACCTCAATGATTGTTTAAGACTGTCTCTAATTTTCAAATTATAAAACCTATTGCTTATTATTGTATAAAGGACCACTACTTTTTACACTTCAAATTTGACATGTTTGGATCATTTAAAGGTTTTGTCTTTAGAGAAATTTAATAGAAAAAACAGCAGTTTCTCAGATAAATTCTGATTTATGTTTTGTATATGACATTTACAGTCCTGTTTTCTTTGGGTGGGTTAAAACTTTGTATTCAAGATCAAATCTTTTGTCTGACAGCGATGGCTGACGGAGCAGAGGGCCCAGTGTCCACACTGTCGGTAAGAGCCTGATGACATTCTTCTGCTTCCTTTTAACATCAAACATTTCAACACTAACTGAAGATGTTTGAGAGAAATTAGCTTCAAGCTCAAGGTCAATAAAACATAATTACAGATAACAGGAATAAAGTCAGTGTTTTAGCTGTGTATTATTGAGCATCATTACAGATCTCTGTGGGTGAAGAAATATGATCATGTGTTAAATTGTTTTAAATAACTTTATCAAATATTGTGTGTGTTGTAAAAATGTTAAATCTGGTCTGGACATTCAAAAAAACAAAAAAAAAATTGTAGAAACGTTTTGTCTTTCATCCGAGAGACTTCCTCAGTCTGAGGTGCTGCATTCAGCTCAGTCTTATAAATAGCACCTTCTCGCAGTGGATCAACCAGTTTGCTGCTGATCCACTACGAGAAGGTGCTATTTATAAGACTGAGCTGAATGCAGCACCTCAGACTGAGGAAGTCTCTCGGATGAAAGACAAAACGTTTCTACAATTTTTTTGTTTGTTTTTTTGGGATGTCCACAAGACCAGATTTAACATTTTTAGATTTTTCTACCTGGATTATTGAGCATGCATCAGGTTATCGTGTGTGTTGTTCACCCAGAGCTCCGCTGCAGCTCAGAGAGCTGGTGAACTGTCGCTGGGCAGAGGAGGTCACCCAGCAGCTGGACACCCTGCAGCTCTGCAGCCTCACCAAACACGAGGACAATGACAAGGACAAGTGAGCAGCTCCTTAAACCGTGCAATTCTTATTTCCAAATGCTTTCCAAAAGTTTAAACCACACCTCCTTTCTTTATATTTTACTTGTAAGATACCAGATTTTCTTCTGTGAGGTATTTATTTTTCTTAAAAAATAGTTTTATGCCTAATTTTTGTAGATTTATCTTCTGTTTTCTAATTTCAGTCCAGTACCTGGTTGTTTTCAGAGAAAGTTTGTTTATGTTCAAGTCACCAGATGTTGTACTATGAATTATGTGTGTATAAAAAGTAGGTTGCCAAACAACTAACTCTGAAAACGTTCATGTTCTGGACAGAAAATGAAAGAAAAGAAGCCAAGATCCATCCAGAAAAAAAAAACAAAAAAACTGAATAAAATCTTTAAAAATCCTGGAGAACTTTTAATCAAGACCACCTCAAGAATTTACAAACAAAAAAATCATGATTTTAGGAGTACCTAATTACAACTTTTCAAAATCAATTAACTCTTAAGTAGCAAAGAGATTTTAAACATATTTTATTTTGTTTTGCTGATGAAACATTTGCTACATTCTGGCAGTTTAACACAAGTCAGACGTTTGCAGAGCAGTTTTACGTTCCTTTCATTTATCTCTTCTTCATGTTCTTATTCTGCAGATGTGAAAACCACCATGAGAAGCTGAGCGTGTTCTGTTGGACTTGTAAGAAATGCATCTGCCACCAGTGTGCCCTCTGGGGAGGCATGGTACGAAGCACAGCTTTGATTTTTAGTTTACAGTCTGCATATGAAGTTAAAAATAAGCGTATCAATAACATTTATTGATCTCCACCTGATCATAGTAGGTCTGGGTAATTACTGTCTCTTTAAAAGTTTAGCTGGTTCTTATACAATGTCTTATTTCCCCTAATGTTGCCTACATTAATAAATATTCCACTGACTTTCTGAGAATTAAAGCAAATCTTCCCATTACAGAAGCTGAAACTTGACAATGGCTGATGTTTTTTTTTTTTACAGCATGGAGGTCACACCTTTAAACCTCTGGTGGAGATTTATGAGCAGCACGTGACCAAAGTGAAGGAGGAGGTGGGCAAGTTGCGCCGCCGCCTCATGGAGCTCATCAGTCTGGTTCAGGAAGTGGTGAGAGCTTTTTTATGCAAGAAAAAAAAAAATCACCAAAGCTACACAAAAATATTTTCCTCCCCTTTAGCTTAACGAACAGAAATGCTACTAATGCAGGAAAATATGGTTATGTTCACACTGCCCCAAATCAGATTTATTTATTTTATTATATTTTTAATGACAGTCTTAATGTGACTGATTCAATAGTTTTCAAATCTGATCCAGGTCTTTTTACATGTAGTACTAAATCTGAAACCAATCTGATGTTTTCAGTGCAACTGCAGTCTGAACAGTCATGTTGCATTTCACTCGACTTTTACATCATAAAGTCAAGATGTGCAGCTCAATCCAAATATTGGTCTTACAGATACCAACGCCATGCAGCTTAAAGCTCAGAACTGCATCTACACCCATCATGATACCAATGTTGGTGTTGGATTGTATCCATACTAATGGACCGGTATCAGTACTTGAATTTTGTTTCTACTTTCTGTCCTTCGATCCTGTTCCAGAAGTGCAGTTCTGCCCTAGAGTAGGTGGGAAGTGACAAGATATAAACACAGGACCAAACAAGCATGGCCGATATAAATTTAATCAATTCAAGTTCACCTATCTTTATTGTTGTTACAATCACATGTGGTACATGAGGTGGAACAAAATTATGTACACAGGGTCCCAGTTGCACTCAAAACTAGCAAAATATAAAGTATAAAAAGAAACGGTAAATAAGGCTCTAAGATATTCACTAAACAAACACCAAACTGTACGCTAAAAGATCTAAGATAAAGATCGCCTTGGAGAGAAAGTAATGACTCCTGATCTTCCCTACAGACAACGATTTGTCAAATGAAGCATTTCAGAAATCAACTTGTCTCGAAGGACAATAAGTTAACAATTAATGAGCCATTGTAAAGAAAAGTTCACTTCAAAGCAAAGTTTAATACTTGACTTGTAATGGTTAAAAAAGAGGGAAAAACATTGTCAGGTAGGTTTTGTTGTATTTGAGCTTATTAATGCTGACGTTTTACCTTTTTTATGTTTGCTCGTCATCAGTTCATAAGATATCGATATCAAAGTCCAAAACTTGCAAATGTTTTTGAAGCTCTGCGTTGTTTCTTTTTCTGGTGGCGTGCGACCTCTAGATGGCACAGACTGATTTGAGTTTGTCTTTGTGGTTGCTCTGTCAGGAGAGAAACGTGGAGGCCGTGAGGGGAGCGAAGGACGAACGGGTCCGAGAGATCCGAAACGCCGTGGAGATGATGATCGCCCGTCTGGACAACCAGCTTAAGAACAAGCTCATCACTCTGATGGGTAGGACTCCACACAGTGATAAACACCTGAAGTGTACACCTTTAAAGTCGAATGTAAAAAGAACGGCAGTTTAACTGAGTTTTTACCTTTTCAGTAAATCAACTCATTAAATGAGTCCTCAGCTTCCCTCACACATAGATCTGTTAAAGTACTTAAAAAGCAGGTTGTTTATAACAAAAAACAACATATTTATCTGAGTTTTATTCCAAAACTCGTTTGAAGTTCGAGTTGTTCCTCCAACAAAAAGGCAGCCGGAGCCGCTGTTTACAAACACGACTAATACACGCATGAAATCTTTATGTAGTGTGAGTGGATGCTCGCGCTCACCCCCCCCCCCCCCCCCCCCCCAAACACAACACTGAAAATAGAAATGTGCTCCTCCCCACCAGGCCAGAAGACGTCCTTGACCCAGGAGACGGAGCTGCTGGAGTCTCTGCTGCAGGAAGTGGAGCATCAGGTTGGTCATTTACTGCGAATCAAATCTCTGTTCATGTAAGTGCTGTGCAAAAGTCTTGAGTCGTCCCTCATTTTGTTATAAATGACTTCCAAAGAGCCACACTAAGAAAGTCCGGAGAACTGTCTTGAAGTATTACAAAAGAGTTTTGGTTAGCATTGACTTGTAGTCGTGTCAGCTGAACCTCGAGCAATGCAGCAACGAGATTAAACTCTTCTACTAGAATGAAGTAGATTTGATGATTAAGAAGGGAGTTGTTGTTGTTAAAAACACACTAAACTGAGATTTGGGGGCAGTAATGAACTGAGATGTTTAGTTGCATATTTTGCTGCTCAACAAGTTTGTATTAAGTTCAAAACATCAAATGTTTAGCAACTTTATTTGAGCTGATTTTTTTTAGTAATTTGTCTTAATTCATGCCATTTAACATTATTGGTTTTTAACATTTTAATTAAATTAATAAAAGAAAAAGGCTTCAAAAATCAAGAAAGGTTTAAAGGGTACTTGTACTCAGAGGGTTTAATACAGTAATTGTATGAGTTTTACTAAAATATTGGCTCATTAAAGTACATGCTTCGTACTACATGAATTATTGACAGAATACATGAGTACGTTACATTAAACCACCATATTTTGTGATTTAGAATAAGTCATTTGGCAAAATTAGATTAATTAACAAAAATAAACCAACTGCTTCCTTCATTGTGATAAAAAATAAAGTCAAACTTTCTTTTCAGAACTGAGTTTTTGGTTGTACACGGTGCCGTTCTGATCGACAGGATTGACGACGGCCACCGTAATCAAAGGTTTGTGTCGGTGATCACGTCTCTTTCCGTTTGTGTTGAGCAGCTTCACTCGTGCAGTAAGAGTGAGCTGATCTCCAAGAGCCCGGAGATCCTGCTCATGTTCCAGCAGGTCCACAGGAAGCCCATGCAGTCCTTCGTCACCACGCCAGTCCCCCCTGACTTCACCAGGTAAACTGCTCGGCTGCCAACGCGACACATCTGGGAAAACTCTGCGAATGTAAACATCTGTTATATAGTTTTTTTTCCACATCTGTTCTTTGTGTTTTCAGTGAGCTGGTTCCTGCCTACGACTCCAGTACTTTTGTTTTGGTCAATTTCAGGTGAATCTTTTCTTTTCGGCTGCCTTTAGCTGCTTTTAGCTCTAAACTTCCATGTTGTTTACTCCTAAAATTACTAAACATTTTTGTCTTATGTAGCATTAATCATCTTTAAAAGTAGATTTTATGAGTATCTTGACGTATAAACTTTTTTCTGCAGCCAGAACACACAGCATTTTACTGTGTGGGTAAAGAAATGTTTCCTGTTTGTATCGAGTGTGTAGAACAACACGAGAACAAGGCTTCATAAGTCTTTGTGCGTGGTGGTGTTTGTGTGTGGCAGCAGGAGTGCAGGAAATAATTTAATGATATTAATACAAACTGTAAATATGATGCACAAACAAACTCTGTCATAAACATTTAATAACAAACAGAAATGAAGCTAAAGTCCAGTTCAGTTGAAATAATAAAGTGTTATGATTGTTTTATCTGCTTTACTTTTTATGCTGATGACAAACTGCATTTGTTGAGACCTTAGTTGCGCTCTGGTAATTTAGGACTATGTTTTAAAGCGGGCCTGTTTGAAAGCAGCTTTAAAAAAAAAACAAAATCATTACCTTTAGTTTATTGAACCACGTTGACGTTACAGCGATTTTTAAAATGTGTTTTTGTGTTTGGCAGCACCCTGAGGCAGCGAGCTGACCCAGTCTACAGCCCTCCCCTGCAGATCTCCGGCCTCTGCTGGAGACTCAAAGTCTACCCGGTAAGTTGGAAATGATTATTCGCTCCGCTCCATTTTCATAACGTTTGTGATGGGTGGACTCTTGTGCTGCGTTTCCTCAGGACGGTAACGGCGTCGTCCGTGGAAATTATCTGTCCGTGTTCCTGGAACTGTCCGCTGGACTTCCGGAAACGTCAAAGTAAGAGTTATTTTAAAAATACCACTTTTTCTATTCAGACTTCTCATACTTACTCCCTATTCATCCTCTAAGGTCACAATGAGATCTAATTTAATGTTTAAATGTTTTCATTTTGTTGCTCAAAGTTTGGTTTTGTTCTGCCGGCTGTACGACTTCCATTTTTCTGATGAAAATTATTTCAAAATACATTTTTCTCTCATTGTTGAGTTCTCATAAATCCTGTTAGCTTTCTTATCAAAGTGCTTTTTAAAAAAAAAAAAAATCGGCACACAGGAAGAAGGAAACGTTCTTTTGAGTTGACTTTCAAGGTTTCGTTTCATTCGTCAGGACGTGACTCCTTCAAGAGCAACGCTTTTTATTCAACTTTTAAATTCTAATAAAACTGAGAATCAACTGTTCCAGGTTTTATCTTTAAAAGCCCCTTCACTCTGATTTTCTGTTCAGATGATGGAGCATTTTAAAAAAGGATTTGGGTTTTGGTCGTCCTTTGTATCGGCCAAAATTATAGCTTATGGTGTTATTTAGAAAAATATTTTTTTTTTCATGTTTTATCATGATGTGAAGTTGTTTTTTGTCATCAGATGAATGGAAGTGCTCTTTTACAGTTCGTCTTTTATGAGGTGAAAACTGAAAAATGTTCTGAACATTTTTATTTGACCATAAACTGGAGCTTGTTTATTTATTTATTTGTTTATTTATTTAACAGAGTATATTGTGTGTTTTCATCCAGGAGGTTACAACACAAATACAGCTGCTTACGAGAGAAAACCAAAATGTCTAGTTTTGAAAAATAATACACGGGTTCCTGTTTGACCAATTTGTTTTGTTTTTGACCTTCATCGGAGTCTTCAGCACAAGCTAAAACATGTTAAATATTAAAGTGTAGCTGCAGTTTTTACCTTTTTGTAAAGGTCCCATCCTCTGCATCCATTTAAAAGTAACATTACTAGGATTTTAATACGATGTTAATCCCTAAAAGACAAATGTATTATTGCTGTATAAATTACAGAGATTAATTCAAATGAGTTAGAAAAAACTAGAATTTGATTAAAAAAAAAAAAAAAAGACATGTAGTGTTTATCCTGAATGGGTCGTCATTTGAAGCTCACCAACCGTGAACTGTTCAAAAACAACCCACATCAAACATTTAAACCCTCCCTGCTGCTTCCTCCTTTAAAACTCATTTATTCTGCTTTTTTTATGTCCTGGATGTGTTCAGGTATGAGTACCGTGTTGAGATGGTCCATCAGGCCTCCAGTGACCCGACCAAGAACATCATCCGGGAGTTTGCTTCTGACTTTGAGGTTGGTGAATGTTGGGGCTACAACCGGTTCTTCAGATTGGACCTGCTGGCCAGCGAAGGCTACCTGAACATGCAGACGGACACGTTGGTTCTTCGGTGAGCTCAGTCAGTCGGACCTTATTTGTCCCTTTAGGTAAATTTGATTAGAGTGAAATGAGTCGAGTCAGTAAGCAGAAAGATGAATCCGATTCAATAAAAGGGTCAGCGGAGTTTTGTTGACGTGAAACGATCACAGTTTGCCTCAGTAGTGTGTTTACTGCCAATAACAGGATCAAGATATTTCACTGTCTGACCCTTTAATAAAAGGTAGTTTAGACCCCACTGTACCTGGTGGGGTGTTAAACACACTTATTTTTGCTCCCCCGCAGCGCTCTGGTCAAAGCAGCTGTGCCGGCGTTTCTTTATCTAACAGAGTGTGGTGGTTTTTGTGTGCCGTGCAGCTACCAGGTCCGCTCGCCTACGTTCTTCCAGAAGTGCAGAGATCAGTACTGGTACATCAGCCAGCTGGAGTCGGCTCAGGGCGGCTACATCCAGCAGATCAACAACCTCAAAGAAGTACGCTGCATGTTCTCTCTCTGACGTTTAAAGCTAAGATTTTATTACAGCCTGGTGGGAGGCGGCTCATCCTTAAATATTTGCGATCTTTGTAATCCAGGAGGTTTACGTGTTTAATTTCAGAGGCTGGCCATTGAGTTGTTTCGCCGCCAGACGTCACGCAGCTCCTCGCCCCCCGACCTCAGGCCGGCTACAGGCACCACGGTGTCTGACCGGGACCCTCGCTCAGTGAAGAGCGACGACGACGCCCTGACAACTTTGAGCAACTCTAAGAAAGGCGAAGAGGACGAGAGGACTCCGCACGACGACTCAAATGTAAGCGTTTTAAAAATACTTTAGATTTATTTTAACTTGTGAATTCCTCAGTTTCATTAACTAAGGTGCTTTACAAACATGAACAGCTTTGGTGAATACACATAAAGATTTTAATTATTTCATCCTTGTATCCTCATAGGAGCCCTAAAATAAATAGTATAAAAAAAAAAAACTTACTCTAGAGTGAAAACAGTCTTGAAGCCCCATCACTAATCTAAGGGCATCATCTGCTTCTTGCTGAGTTTGTTTCTCACCCAGTGTGTGATGAGAATTTTTAGGCAGCGCTACATGTTGGCTCGATATTGTTACTAGGCCTGTCATGATAACAAATTTTGCTGGGCGATTGTCTCAGAAATTATTGCAATAAACAATAATATTGCTTGAAATTTGACAATAATTACTAATTATTGTCAAATTTAAGAAGACGTGTTGGTTAATTTTATGTGTAGTACCTTTTTGACCACTATATGACAGTATAAGACTGTTTGAACCGAAGGATGGAAATAGTTCAAATGGATTTGAAAGAGAAAAGAGAAAGGGAGGGGTCAGTGAAGAGCAGGAGTTGAGCCTTTCGTCATCCAGTGTCTTCAGTAGAAAGAGAGAAACACGAAGAAACGATAAAGCCGATAAATGAAAATGAGGTCAATCATTTTCATTTATCATGCGATTAATTGATTTATTGTTTATTCCTACAGGCCTAATCATTACTGCAGTTTTTAAAATCGTTTTGGTGTTTCCATGTGGGTGAAACCATTTCTTGAAACACTGCTGTGTTTTAGGGGTTGAATCGACTAGTCGATTGTAGGACATCTCGCAAGTTTTTTAATTTCACGACGACTAGTCGCCGGGCGGTGGTTAGAGCTGTTATTTCTAACCCAGGCTTGTGCCCGGCCCGAGCCAAAATGGCGTGCTGGATGGTTGGGCCGGGTCGGGCTTTTGATTGCATCAGCGGATGTGCACGGTTGAAAATCCAATTTGGATCACCACCAGCCGCTCACGGTTGAAAGACAGTGTTTCCCCTACCATTTTACAAGCGGGGTGCCCCACCCCGTCAACAGAACTGAGCACCCCCCATTCCAAACCAAACGTGCCCCCTCCCTCCGCCCACCCAGCACTGACATAGCACTAAGCTAGCGGTGAGAAATACAGGTTCTTTAGCTAAAAAGCCAAAGGCAGCACTCATGTTGCCTCTTCCCTCATGCTAAACGCCCCCTGCCCCCACTCAAAAACTGTTTGTACAAGCTGTGCTCAGACAAGTGTCCGTCCCCCCATCAACGAAAATCATGGATGAGATGAGCACCCACCATGGCAAGTTAACTAGGGGAAACACTGAAAGAGGTACAGAAAAGTCCAGATGGATCACGGCCATCGACACACCTGCAGCTTAACTGGACCCAGCCACTGCGTCAGTGGATGCGCACGGCCTACGACCGTTAATAACTATAATATTATAATAAGGTGGATTCCACCACCGCCCACCCCGCTGTTTTTAGCTTTATTTTATTTAATCCACCACCGTGGAGTAAATGGCTTTTACATAGCTTTTAGCTTTATTTTTCACATGCCGCACGTTTCTTTCACTTTTGCAGCTTAAAGCTTTTCCTGTGACATTTGCAGTATGGTAAATGGTAGGAGCATAAATGTGGCCTACGCTTCCGACGTTTTGTTGCTCTTTTGTTTTTAAATAATAAGTTAAATTTTTTGTGAATATGATATAGCGTTTTGAGTTCCTGACATCACAGTGACTAGTCGACATCAACTTCTAAAAGTTGTTCTACTCTAAACACCAACCAAAACACTTGTAGTGAAATGCATATTAGCAGTGCTTTTAGTCTCTGATGGACATTTTAAACACACTGTTTATTTTATTCAGAAACTGATTATAAATTAAGTTGTGTACTTTTGTGTTTGAAAAAGGCACAATTTAATTTAATGCTACTCCTTAATTTAGCAATGTCAGATTCTGCTCTGCTTGTTTTTTTAATGACGGATTTAATCAGGTCTCTCTTGTAAATGAGTCCTCGAGGCTCAATGGGATTAACCTGTCTAAATAAAGGTTGATTGTATATAAAAAAATATTTATTGGCTTTTCCTTCGCAGTTTGTTTTTCATCTCGTTTCTCAACAGTGAGCAGAAATGATGATGCACAGAGTCTGATACCAGTCATCCATTCATTATGGTCAAAATATTATAGGGATATAAACATAAAGCAACACAAATTAAATTTTTTTAAAGCATTCTTTATATATTTTTTATAAATTCGGGGCGTGCGTATCCTCTTCCATCCAGTAGGGGGTGCTGCACCACCCTCTGCATCCCTGCATGCTGCTTCCTACGGCCTGGCTTCCAGGTTTAGCTTGGTTCTGCTGAGCCTTAGACCATCACTGCCTCAAAGGTTGTGAGTAAATTATCAGTTGGGAGGACAAGCCAGCTTATTAGATGGGGCAAATCCTGAAAGAACTGAGGATCTTGCTTCATTATCAGTCATCAGTTTGTGTCGATTCTGTTTAGGAACTGTCGGACGGAGACTTGGAGGTGGACTGTCTGACAGAAGAGGAGGTGAACCCGCTGGATGGCAGCAGCACCTCTGGGAGCTCCACAGCCACCAGCAACACCGAGGAGAACGACATAGACGAGGAGACCATGTGAGTAGAGCTCTAGACTTAATGTAACGAAATCTGGAGGATCCAGAACCATAAAGTATGGTGTTACTTTTAAAAGTTTCATCTTTGTTCAGGTCAGGGGAAAATGATGTCGATTTCATCGGGAACCTGGAGGCAGAAGAAGGAGAGCTTTCTGATGACCTGGTTGGAGCTACAGGTATAGTTACCTGAACTAATAATGTTTGATATCACAGCTGTCTGTGTAGTTTCTGTTCTTATCCTCAAGGATCAGCTCCATCTCAGAAAACAGAATCGAACCGCTCAGATTTAATGACCACGCTACGACAGCACGTGTTGATCCAGGGTTGGAGAAACAGAACTTGTCTGCGTCTGTCCACTGTTTTTGTTTTTAAAGGACACGCTGTGAAGAATGTTTTATTTTCTTTAGTGTCACCGTTCATTTTTTGAGTTTCACCTGTATTTTCTGTACAAAAAGAAAAACATTTAACGTTGATGCTGATGCTCAATAATCCAGGTAGATAAATCTACATTTGGCCGATGCGAGCTGAGTAAAGCCACGCCCCTGGAGAAGGGACTATAGTGAAGAGAACACGTCCGTCATTAAACGGGGCAGAGGCCTCTGTGTTCACCTGTCACCTTCTTACAATGCTGTTATTGTATCACTCAGCCCTCTGCGAATAGCAAGTGGCCATCGGGCTCCAACCATCGGTCATTAGACTGATGGTCCTCCTTTATCATGTGAACAACTAGTTTTGCCTGTCTCCAGGTTGGCTTCCTTCATTCCTCTCTCGAACCAAAGTTTCTCTCTTATCAAGGATGTGCGTACCTGCAAAAGCAGTACAAAGGCTTGGATTTGTAGATTTAATACAGTAGTTGGATTGTGGGGGCAGCAGCTTGAGCAGGGAGGTCCAGATTTCTCTTTCCCCAGCCACGTTTTCCAGCTGTGAGACATAGTCTCTCCACTGTCACTGGTCTTCCCTGGGGTCTCCTCCCAGTTGGGCATGCCTGGAACACCTCCCTAGGGAGGCGTGCTAGGGCCGCTGTTTAGGAATACGTTGCTGATGGTGATGTTTTCATTTAGCTGGTACAGTATATGTATAACTTTAGTACAGTGCAGTGTAGCCTGGAAAGAGTGACAGGACCTTAAAATAATTAGACTTGTATTTCTTAAATTATTTAAAAAATAGCCTAAAAGTATTTTGTAGCACTCTGCGTTGCTTTGACAAACCTAATATATATAATCATATAAACTCATTAAGGCAGGAATAATGAGCAGAATTTTACTCATACATTTTTAATCAAGCTGTTTTTGACTTTGACTGCATGTATTTATTTGCAGTCAATGGTCAAAATGTATGCATGTATTAGTTTGAAATAACATTTAAACTTATTAAACTTATTGCAAATATACAATAAATGACACACTCAGCCATATTAATACAGTGGTTGTATTAATATTAATATGATTATTATTACCCTTTCATTTCAGTCCAGTTCTTTGACAGTCCAAAGCTCCACAGGTTGCAGGTTCTATTAATCGTCTTATTCACGTCTGTCTTAGCTGAGTTTAGGTTCTTTTACTCTGATATTTATGGTCCGAGTTCATTCTAAGAGCAACCAAGAATGCTAATGTAGCACCTAGCAAGATGGCTGAACTATTTTGTGTAGTCTCTAGCATAGAAATGCTGTGGTTGGTCAGTCCGGTGTATTTTTAGTATTTCAGTGGTTTGTAGCAGACTCTTGTTTTTGTCTCGAAGCACAAAAACTCAGAGATTTGTTTAAAAGCAGCACGTAGCACTTTGGTGTTTGAAGAAACGTAATGTATTATTAAATATATTTAAAATCTTTGCATCAATAAATGTTATCAGTAAAGATGCTTAGTGTTTAGTAGAGCTTTAAAAATCCTTTTGAGCAAGTTTTCCAGAGGAATCCAGAGCAGTTTCTAATGTTTCTGAGGCTGAAGCACCGACGCTGCGTCTCGGCTGAAGGCTCCAGTCTCTGTTTGAAGCAAACAAAAAGCATCAGCTGCTCCTCGGGAGTTTTCAGGTTTTGTTTTACTGCACAAGCAGAAAATAGCGATACGGCGTGGAGCCTGAGAGCAGCTCCTCGGTGTGTTTGACCGTGTCGGTGTTGAAAGGCACGAAGAAGATGAGTCACTGCCATAACACAGAGCGCATCGTTTATCTCACTGATGGAGAAACGCTTGGTGTTGGAGAAAAAGGTTACTGTGTGTTTTTAGGTGCCGCGGTGTAGTAGTTCTATTTTAATACTCGGGTAATGTAAAATCTGTGTAGAGTTGAAGCTGCAAATCACTTTCAAATTTGGCTTTTTATGTATTTTTCTTCTGTTTTTGTGTATTAAAAAAAAAACAAAGCCTTCCTTGAGTGGATTAGCTACAACAGATATTTTTAGAGATCATCACAGGGAACCACATCAGTGTTTCTGTTCAGCTTCTTTTAAAATAGGAATTTCAAATTACAGTTCAAGTTTAGCTTCAAAACTGATGGAAAATTTGTTGCGAGTTGACAAACGAGTCTTAAAAATCCTACATTTGTCATTCAACACTTATTGTTTTTAGTCTTTTTTTTTTTTGTTTGACCATGTTTTATCAAATATTTTTAATGTTAGAATCAACCATATGTGTAAAAGAATTCAGATTTATTTGTTGTTTTTTTCCCTGCAGGATTTATTGTAGTCTCATTATATCTGATAGAAGATGATAAAAGCTTGACATTTAAGTTTAATGACTTTATTATGATAGAAATGTGCACATTTAATAATTAATCTAAAATTAAGTCGAAAAATTACATTTCATGTGAAAATGCAGTTTTTGCACTAGTGAGCGGGACATGGAGGACGATGTTAATTACAGCAGCTATTAAAGCACAAACTCCATCGAAGGAGAATATGTAAAGTTAAAAGTGCACAAAGTGTATACTTTGAGTTGAACTGAATGGCAGAAAAGCTTAAAATTCAAGAGCAGGGTTTTGTGGCCTGCAAGAGTCACGAAGCAGAGTGCAACTGGTGACCCAGACGAACGCTCTCTGGCTCGAAATGAAAGTCGAGTTATGGCTGAAGAACTTAAGCTGACATTTTACCATCTTTAAAGGAGGGTATTTCCACATCTTTACAAGAGGAGCTCAGACATGTGCTGTTGAATGACTTTGACACTTCGAAGTTAGAGCTGCAAGCGATCTGAGCCGAAATGGTTAACAACATGGCCGCCATCTGGACCAGAGTGGACACGTTCAAGCCAAAATTGCAAGACGTGTAATTGTGGTCTGATGAGGTGACCCGCGTGCAAACTCAAACGTCAACCTTAAAAGACCGGTGCGAGGACATGGAGGGGAGAATGAGATGGTATAATATACAGATTACCGGCATCAAAGAACTTCCGGAGTCGAGCTCCCCCATAAGAGTCGCTAAAATTATTAAAGAAGTGCTGCAGATGGACCGGGACATAAAGGTTGACCTATCTCACCAAACGTTTACTGCTAGAAGACCAGCTGACTGAGAGGGGCGATCATTGCCAAGCTTCAAAATGATGATGTGATAGAAATCCTCTGAGGGCCCAGGAGAGAGCCCTGCTGCCCTACGAGGGACGGCTGGTCAGTTATGGGTAAATATTACCTATAACTTTCTGACTGCAACTGTTCCTCTGGATGCAGCGCTGACATCTGTGAATGGGACTCATCACTGTTACTTCTGTAGTAACACTTTGCTCATACTGTATTTGTACACGTGCACAGCTATGGAGAGCTGATGTATTACTGGAGTGAACATCGTCATCCACTGTGTTCTGTTATTGTACTGTTTTTTTTTTTATTTGTCTTAAGCAGAAAAACGATAGAAATGTGTAGAAAAAGTTGATATTGGCAGAGAGAAGCTGAATAAATTACATAGTCCAAAACTAGTATTAAAAAAATGCTACAATGAGCAAAAACAGGTAGCTGAAAAAGCTAAAAAATAAAATAAATGCTGAAATGAGCAGTTAACAGGTTTTAAGGATGTAAAGAGCTCTGTTCATTTTCAGTGATTAAAAAAAATAGCTGAAAAAGCTAAATATTTCAAAAAATAAAAATTCCACGCATACGAAGTGTCGCAGCAGGAATGTCCTGAATGAGCCGAACGTTTCGATGTAATTGTTGAAATGTCATGGAAACTACAGAGCAAGTGTGAATGTTTTCTAAGCACTGGCACCATTAGGTGGGGTAAGAAACGTATTCATAAAAATGCCATATTTAAAAGACATTTCGTGCTCTGAGGAACTTTCTTGAATCAAACTGTAGTTTGGAAATAATGAGTAACATTATTATAAAAATATAAAAGTTCTGTGGGTCTGAAACGCTGAGGTTCTGCCCGATCTGCAGGTGGGTTCTGCTCCAGCGTGCGCTCGTTACATCGCGGCTCTGCTGCTGCTCGTAGTGCCAGCGGGAGTGGAGGCGCCGCGGCTCTAGGCGGCGCCGTCGGGCCGGGCGGCGCCAGCCTTCTGGAGCTCGACCCGGTCATCCTGATCCAGCTGCTGGACCTGAAGGAGCGCAGCAGCGTGGAGTCCCTGTGGGGCCTCCAGCCCCGGCCTCCAGTGTCTCTGCTGCACAGCCAAGGTAAAAGAAAACCACAGGTATGCAACGTTTTCAACAAAGGTCTCGAGCGATCAGCCAGCCCTCACTGTATGTGTTGGGGAAGACTCTCAGCTGCTACCACACTAAATTTTAGCTCCGCATTTGTAAAGTTCGATCAGCTGAGGTGACCAACTTGAACGTTATTAACAATATTCCTATTCTCTTTAGCGCACGGCCACTCAAGAAAGGAACGGGAGCGGCGACCGCAGGCGGTCCGGCGGTCGGCTCCAGACTCGGGCGTCCTGATCCGCCTCAAGGCTCAAATGGCCGAGGTCCACAGCAAGATGTCTGATGTCAAGAGTCAAGTCATGGAAGCTGGAGAGCCCAGACCCGGCCCATCTGGATCCTTCTGCGTGGAGGAGGTTTCATCTCATCACGGGAGCTCGGAGACGCCCGCTCGTCACAAATCCAGTGAGCTGGACCTGGTGGGGAGAGCATCTGCAGCTCGGTCCAGGCCCTGCAGACCCGGTAAGGGTGAGATACTGTGTGAGGAACCAGTACTAGTTAGGAAGGGTGAGGGCGCTGGTTCATCAGGAACCACATCAGGTTTTCACGAAGTACTTCCTGCTGGTTCAAGTCAAATTTAGCGTCTTCTGTTCCTTTTTAGAGGAAAAGTGATGAATTATTTCATAATCTTTCATAATTATTTCAAGAGTGGAAGCGGCTTCTCCTGTGGACTCAGACGAGGTGAAAATTTGATCAGTCTGGACGAACATGGTCATACATGAAAATCCAGAGGTTTCTTTTAGAACCAGTGGTGTTCTCATGTTTGTGCTGCTGTTCGGTGTATTTTTTTGTACCACTAGTGCTTAGTGTATTTTAGTTAACATTTTTCTTAGTTCATGTCTTAAATATTATTACTGTTTTTCTTTTACATTTTATACTTTTGTTGGATTTAACTGGGATCCTGTGTACACGGTTTTGTTCCACCACATGTGGGGAATGACAAAGAACCTTGAATCTTTGGTACAAACCATTAAATAAGCAAAATAATGCAGAACAATTTTGGTTTAAATTGATTGAAACCTTTAATTTTTGATACAAATTATTGATCTCCTCACGTTACCAAATTATAATTGATCCCGACTTCAGGAACGTTAAATGTTTTTGAGTTTGGTCAAGATTTTTGTTCTTGAAGCTTGAGGCACACGTTCAGTAACTCCATTCAGATCAGTTTCAGCCTGGCTGGTTAACAATAGATAATAAACTCAACATCCCTCTTATTGGTTGATTGATTAATTGATTGATCGATCGATCCAACATCTCATTCAAATTCTCAAGCAAACTATTAATCAAATAGATAAACTTTGTCAAAAATGTTTTGTGCGCATGAAACAAAATAAATGCTGTCCCAAGAATTCTTTTGTTTTAGATAAGAGAATTACTCCTTGATGAGTCCTTATTGATTAATCAAGTCTTAAGTATTTATTCAACAACTTTGTTACGTTTGTTTTGGTGTAGAGTTCCCTGGAATTAACAGATTCTGCCTCAGTGACCGAGTTCTGATTATTAACAGGTGAATACATTAATGAAGTTGTTGCTGGTCAGTAAACGACCCGGCTGGTGCCCCGCTGTAACGAGTGCAAAACAATAAGTGAATAATAATAAGTGAGCAAGTGTCACCCTTCTTCCCCCATCACTTATATATACTACATATTTAAATAAATACCTTTACTCAGTAACACAGAGCACTTTATCCATCTCTATACAAACATATACATTTTATCTTCAAAACACACGTTTTGTGTGAAATAAAACTGGTTCATCTCCAGATTAAACAGAGTTCCCAGGACTCTGTAAATCAGAGTAAACCTGGAAAATGACTTTCACCATTCCCAGACGGGGAAAACAGGGAATTTGAACACTGATCAAAAAATGATCTTCCTAAGATTATGATGTGCACATGCATTAATGCTGCTATTCTAGTCGCAATGAGTCCATGTTCTAAATGGTACATGCATCCATACTGACTGGTTATGGTGGCGGGATATGATTACTTATTAAGAATGAGTGCAGTGTACACGTACTGTAGGCTACAGGATACTTCCTGTCATCTCTGAATGGGACTCTGCCCACCAGCTAAGACACTAAGTTCTGAATATGTTTTTTCTTTTTTTTCTTCTGTGCAGCCAGGAAGTCTCTGTCTCCGGTCCTGGACAGCAGCTCTCTGGTTGTGAAAAGGAGAAGTCCAGAAGAGATGGAGAAAGATCTGAGAGGAGCAGACTTTGCATCTGAGCTCAGCCTGCATCCTAAAGAAGGTATGGGAGGTGCCGACGGTCAGTGGGCGCTGACCTTATGTCATCTTTTTAAAATCTATATTCATCACTTTTTTTTTTTACGTTTAAGGGCTTCAATAAAAAACTCTTAATTGTGTCTACTAGCCTCATGACCCAGAAATGAAAGGATGTCCTCAAACAAAAACATGGAGAATTTGTAAAACAGCTCAAAGGAGCTGAGTTCAGTATTTCCTGTTTTCAGTAAATATGACGCCTTTCAAACCGTTTACTCCTAAATCTGTCCCTGTTGAAGTAAAACGCTGATTAAAGCTGCTTTAAATTGTTACTTTGTCACCAGGAAGGACTGTTGTGAAAACGATGGTACTGATTTTAACACCTATGCGTTGACTCGTGTGTTTTAAAGTATCGTTCTGATGCTCTTCTCTGCGCTGCTCGAGGAAAACTGAAAACATTCGCCCATTCTGGAGTGGCTCGTCTGTTAAACTGTGGCTCGTTTTGACACTTCACCGTCCTTCTACCAGCACCGTTTCAGTTTGTTTACATCAGTATTTTTTTTTACAAAACTTTGTTTTTAACAGCTCCCACTTCACTTTTGCCATGTCGTAGGTAGGTTTTTAGAGGTCGTCAGAAACAAAAGTCATCGTTTGCCTGCAGCAAGTTCTTGGAGAGCTTTGCTTTGCAGCAAGTTCAACGTGTTTTCTGAGTTTGGTTTGTGTGGTGGAATACCTGGTGTGACTTCTGCTCTTCTAACAGTCTTTAAATGACTTTAAATCTGAAATCAGAACGCCTCCAACAGATCTGCTAATCTGTATTACTGCTGTAACTCCGTATGGTTTGTTTAGAGTAAGATCTGTTTGTCTTTGCAGCGTTTCAAAAACCAGACCAGAACTTTGTTCCTGTCGTGTGACTTCGCTCTCGTCTCTGTTCCAGGAGCGCTGAAGTCCGACTCCACCCTCGTTCCTTTGGGCAGCTCTTCAGCAGAGCAAGCCTCCACCTCCAAGCAGCCATACTCCATGGAGCAGCAGCTGTTTGGGCCCTCGGGCGCCAGAGACGAGATCTTTTCGTTGGGAGGAACGAGCTACATGACCGGCAGCCAGCCCTGCAGCGGCAGGACTCTGGGGTGAGACAGACGTTCACCAGGCAGCGGTGAGACTCGGCTCCTCCACATCCGCTCATCGTGCTCTCATTTCTTTCTGCTGCAGGGTGGCTGTGTTGGACCGGGAGTCTGAGAGCTCAGGAAGCACTCATCAGTCTTTGCTGGAGGGGATTTCTGCTCAGCCACAGTCAAATGAAGGTGGGTTCAGCTTCAAGTCTGTCGCCGACGTTTTCAGATCCCTGCACTATATCTGCCTTTGTTTTCGCTGCAGGCGTGTCCAAGAGAATAATGAAGTTTTAAGTCTGTTGAACTGTGGAGGTTTTAAATGTTCAAAACAAATAATCTGCACAAGTGGTTAAATGTGTCTCGTCTGTAGCTCCAGCATCGTCTGCGCTGGTGGCAGCAACCAGCAGCGACAGTGACACTGAAGACGAGGCTCTGCAGAGCAACGAGTCCCGTTACGACAACCACACTCCTCCCTGCACAGGTGACCACACACACACACACACGCACATGTACATAAACACACACAGCACAGGTAAACTACACATAGTCTATTACAAATGCATATCTTTCATGTCATGTGATCCAGTTGTTATTTTAAATGATCTCAGATCTGAGATTTTGTTTAATGAAGCATTTTGAAAACTTCAGTTTTTATGTTCATTAAAGAAGGTGGATAAAGCCTCCAGCCTTTCTCTGACCTGTGCTGACATGCAGTAATAAATTAAACGTTTTATTTCTGTAAAGAAGGGACATCCCTGCAGAACTGGATGTCTTATTTCTCCTCCTCTTTCTTCCAGGAGAGCAGCTTCTGTCTGACGACCTGGGTCTACCTGCTGACAGGTGACTCCCAGTGACCCTGTCAGACTGCTGCTTCACGCTCGAAGGACAAACAGCAACTTTATAAGACCTGTAGAGTAGAAACTGCTTGTTATGCATGAAGTTCCAATGAACCAGAAACACAGTTTGGTGTCCTGAATATTTTCAGAACCAGGCCAAGGCTTTAAAAACTGAGAGATGATGATAAAGTTCATCAAACGCAGTCAGAACACCCACTACTAGAGAGCAACGATGATAAAACTTTATATTTTAGTCTTCTACCACTTCCTGGGGTTTCCTGCTCGTCTCTGTAAACATCCTTGGACGCCTTTCATGATCACGACTGGATTTTATATGATTACATTAAACTGAGGCGACCGCTCCTCTCTTTGTATGAAAGCTCGTCGGTCCGGCAGCGCCCACGTGGGTTCATTAGCAGCTTGTTAATAAAAGTGCAATGTTTAATAATGCTGCTTTGCTCAGATCAACAAACCCCGACTTTTATTCACTGAGTTTTGAAAACTTCAGCTTCTGTAGACGCAGGAACAGTGACTGAATGACATGGATTATAAAACTGCTGCTGCTCCCATGTTTGCGCTGAAACCGCGACACTTGCTTCAGACTTGAGGTAAGATCTCGCTGAGCTGCGACTGTTGAGACTCTGACGAGACAGAATTGTGAGAAAAAGGGCAAATTTGTCATTTGTACAGTGTTTGAAAGTGTCTTTAATGGCCTCGTTTTGGAAATCGCAGCTTATTTCTGTGTGCACTTTAAGGCCGCGCCTATTACTTAGCTGACCACATTGCACCTGCCTCTGCTCGCTTTGATTTAGTCTAATGGAGCTTTAAAACTTGGACCAGTTTCTCAATGATCATTTACCATCAGAGTGGTTTTCAATCATCTGCCAGAGGAGACAGGTGTCAAAATACAGCTTTGGTGGGCAACATTTCCCCCCCAGAGGGCCAAATCAAAATATTTCAAGCAATCGAAGGGCCGTATAGAGAATTGGGAAATAATTTTTCTTTGAGAAAGACTTCTTTTTCTTATTCTTGTTGTAGAATAGTTGACCTACTCAATAAAAAGACACTTTCTGTAGACTGGCTCTTGTGATATACGTTAGCCTAAATATGCTACAAACAAAAAAAGTTGTGTATATTTTTGGAGTCTTTAAGTTTCAGTGTATTTCTGGAAATGTGTTGACTTAAAAAAAAAAGTCTATCATAGTCCAAAGGTTTTCAGTGTCTTTTCCCAAGATAATTAATTTAAACTTAAAATTTCTTTATTAAATGCTGTTTTTTACCAGCACAAGTGATTTTTATTTATTTATTTTTATTAAGAATATTGGCGGCCGGTTGGAGCTTGTCCAAGGGCCACTTTTGGCCCCCGGGCCACATGTTGCCCAGTTCTGGTGCTCTCAAGCCAAAATGGAGACGCCTGCTCTGACTACTTTTTGAAAACGAATCTCATGGGGCAGAACTGCAGAGAGGAAATTGAGACATTTTGTAGACTCTTTAGCAAATTCACCGTCACCAACAGTCAGGTGAGATTTTATTACGACTGTTGTCAAAACAAGAGGTTGTTTTTTTTTTTTTTTCCCCTCAACATCTGCACAAACAACGTTGATGGGACCGGGAGCCACCTGCCTCTTCCACTACAACCGTTTAGACACTGCTCACTTTAATTTATTTAAAAGAGTTGGAGAGGAAACTTCCTGAAGGAAGTCTCTTCTGGCTAGCTTTCAAAAACTCCAGTACTGTACTGTATTCATTTGTATCTATAAGGAAGAAATATTAAAATATCTAAAACCCTGCCAAGTATTTTAACAAACTCGTAGCTCGACCTCCAGATGAAAAATCATCAAGTGTTTCCAGTTAAAGGTCAGCGAGCTCCGCGGCGAACCAAAAAAAAAAAAAAATGCAGAAGTGTACCGGTAATTAATTTGGGTGAAGTGGTCCTTTAAAGTCGTGCTGCGTTAGAAGTACTTCTCAGAGAAAGTTTATTAAAGGTCTGTCATTACGTAACATGTTCTTCGCTGCAGCTGCCAGCTTTCCTTGATGGATTTATTTGTTTACACCTCAGCGCTCCGAACAAACGGAGCAGACAGATTGTTGGAAAGGTCGCCGCAGAACTCTTACAACACCAAACGTTTCTGTCCTTTCTGCTCTTTGTACAGTTAAAATCTGAACGGTACCTCTCTGGCTTTAGACTGTAAATGTGCTGTTTGTACTGATCTGTTTGCCTGGAGGAGCTCGGTTTTACTGGTTGGAGGAACTACGGATAACTGATATATTTTTCGCCTCACTTCGAGGAATCGGTTGTGCTTTCAGGCTTACACTCCAACTGCTGCTCAGAATCGTAAAGGGAAAACGTGCAGGAAACGGCAGATTGAATATTTCCTGTTTTGTTTTTTCCTGTTGAAACCTGCTTTTATTTTGACCGTTCCCAGAACGCATCGTTAATTATTCTGCGTATATTTTGTGTCATGAATAAAATGTTTTGCGAGCGAGCTCAGGTGCGTCTTGTCTCGTTATTTGATCTGAGGTGTCGCAGCAAAGTGGGGCAGGTAATATCTGAAGGTAAAAATCTATTTATAGAGTTTTTATTGGCTTTGTTTTCCCAAGATGAAGACACCAGACTGGCCTAATAAGTCTTCTCTCTATCCATTTATTTAACCAGCTTTATCTTGTAAATATTCCATGGGTAAAGTGGGGAAAGGCACAAATTAACAGCCTATAATTTATATTTAGTGGTAATAAATATACTTTGATTACCTCTCGTTTGAACTATTGTAATTCATAGTATGTTTGTTTAGATAAATGATCTTTGCATCATTTACAATCTGTCCAGAACGCAGCAGCTCGTCTTTTAACAGCAACTAGAAAACATGAACACATGACCCCCATCCTGCATTTCTCTCCTCTGGCTTCCTGTTCACTTCTGGATTAATTTTAAGATTTTATTGCTTGTTTTTAAAGTCTTAAAAGTTCTGGCCCCATCTTATTTATGTGATCTTATTAACATCTACACTCCAGTAAGGGCACTCCGGTCTACCATCCAGTTCCTCTTCGACGTCCCCAGATCTAAACTGAAGTCCAGAGGCGATTGGATCCAGTAACTCAGTCTTACTAATAATAAAGTTATGAACAAATGTGACTGCCTTGAACAAATAAAACTTATATTGGATATGTAAACTGAAAATAATTACATAAACACTCATTTTAAACACAACAGTCACGACTGCCTCTTAAGTAGCATTTCCGCCTCAACCCTTAAAAAAATCTCAGCTCCTAAAAGAGTGTTGGGGGTGAGTGCCGAGCTAATCAGGCAGTCGTATGCAGGCGAGTCCACAGGCAGCAGCCATGAACAGATGCAGGGGCACCTTTCACATGTGGGGTCAGACAGTGAATTTAGCAGAGAAGGGTCGACTTGGAAACATCAAGTGGGGGTAGGATGCTTGACAGAAGTGGAGTACTTATGTAGGTAAACATAGATGTTTAACAACACATTAAAATACACCCAAATGCAGGAAATCACATCTACTGTATTCAATATTTTCTGGGGGAAGACCGCCAGACCCAAACCCCGAATCTGCTATTTGTGTTCCTTCATTGATCGGTGTACAAATTAAGCCCTCAGACAATGTGTTGAAAAGAACTCTGCCACGCCCGTTTTAGCTCAATACAAATGAAAATGACAGAGTTGCAGCCTTTTCTTGTGTTGGTTAAGGTCACGTAGCTGAGGTGGCCATCGGTGACCCTGAAAGTGAAGTTCTATGTGTACATCTAGTGAATACTTTGAGTTTTACTGCAGTCTGCCCAGTGTTACATGAAATATTTTGCTAACACAGGATTGATGCCACAGCAAAACGTGTAGCGTCTAAGTGGTGAGGATGTCTTTCAGCTACCAGGTCCTCCTGGGGGATCTCAAGATGTTCCCAGTCCCAGGGGATATATAAGCCTCCAGTGAGCTCTGGGTTCTCCTCCAGTGGGTCAAGCCCAGAAAACCTCCAAATGGAGGCGTCCTAATCAGAGACCCAAACCTCATCCACCGCACAACAGTACAGGTCAGCAGTTCCCCCTCAGTCATTCTCCCAAATGCTTTCTTTTCTGAATCGCTGAACGTTTTGCCAGAACCTCCAAAAGTCTGATTCCATTCATCTCAGAGTTCCTCCCATGCCTGAGTTTTCACATCGATCCACCACCACAGAAGCTGCAGACCTTCTGGCCCCCCTGCACCTCAGCGGTCTCAATAGTCCTCCAGGACAACCATGCCCTGAAAGTTCCCTTCAGTTTTTCCAAGTGTCACCATTGTTCACCAATAGATCCTTCAGCTGCCATGATAACGAGCGCCAATGACCTTCAGTCCACAGCTGGATATCTGTAAAAACGGCTGGATTAAAACAATTTTTGTTTGCTGACCTTCATTAGTCGTGGAGGCCATCTTGACTTGGAATGAGTTAACAACTTTAATAATTATTTTATTAGCTTTTGTGAGATCTGTTGAGCTGAAATTGTGTTGGGGAAGAGTGTCAGCGGTTAAACACACCAAATTTTAGCTACATCTCTATAAAATGGACTAAAATTGTGGCTGTTTTTTTTACCTTTACTGTGGCGGCCATTTTGAGTTAACGCTGAAGGTTGTAATTTGTGAGTTTTGGAATTGCTAACACAGCATTTGCACCACTTTAGGTTAAAAAGGTTATTTCACATCAGGTGATTGAAATTTCTGTCCTTTCCACAGTCGGGAGGAAAATCTTTCTTTTTCTGGATTTTATTTCCAATTTTTCCCTCAAAGCCCGAACTGCAGCAGTGGAGAGGATAAAAGCCGGAGTTTGAGTGGGGTGAAGCGCTGAGTCTTTTTATAGAAGAAATGTGGAGGACTGCTCACTTTTGTAAAGCTGTTTATGTAACAGCAGACAGCATTGTTCCACATGAGAGCCCGCTCACAACATCACATCTCACCGTGACTTCTGGCATTTTATTCTGCTACCTGGAAACATTTTGTTCAGCTTTCTCTCGCCTCTGAAGCGACGCAACGAAAAACGAGTTTCTCCCTCTGACGTCTATTTGATCAAATCAGAATCCAGTTTGAGAAGATCGATTTAACGGGCGTTCATTGATAACTGATTTTTGTTATTTTTATACAATGAAGCAAGCAATGCATCGGTGGAGGAGTTTAAGTTTCTGGGCGTCCAAGTGATGATAGGATGGAGCAGGAGAAGGATCGGCAGACCAGGGCCTCGTCCTCTGTAATGAGGACGTTGTTTCAGTCAGTCGTGGTGAATTCAAAGTCAAAAGTCAAACTCTTGATTTACTGGTCATGAGGTTTGGATCATGAC